TGGTACTAATCAGGGCGATCACTTCCTAAATAATATAAATGTCTAACCATTGTGCTATACACTTGAAACTAATATGAAATAATATTAAATGTCAACTCGAATTGAAAAATTTAAAAGGGGGGGGGAAGATCAACAATATTATGATAGCATGGTACAGTGTCAGATGGTTGCTGGATTTATCACAGTGATCACTTCTTTAGAATAGGGAATAAAATCAATAATGTGGTAATAACACTGTATAGTGGTAGGTGGGTACTGCTGAATAACTATGATGTATACCTGAACTATATAATATAATACTGTATGCCAGCTGTATTTTAATTTTAAAAATCTTTTAAATAACTAAATAAAGGAATAAATAAATAAATAAATAAATAAATAAATAAATAAATAAATAATAGTCTAAAAAGAAAAGAAAATACCCTTCCATAACATAGAAGCAAAGGGTCTTAACAAAAATTTTGCAGATTGAATCCAACAATAATTTATAAAATGACCAAGTGGGGTTTATCCCAGGGATGCAAAGTTTATTTAACATTTGAAACTCAATCAAGGCAATTCATATATTAATAAATACAAAAAAAGAAGAAACATATGATAGTCTCACTAGATGCAGAAAAAGAATTTGAAAAAAACAATATCCATTCCTAATAATAATATGAAAAATGCCTCACATAAAATTAGAAATAGAAGGGAACTTCCTCATATTGATAAAAAGCATCTATGGAAATCCTACAGCTAACATTATGCTTAATGATGAAATACTGAATTATTTCCCTAGGATCAGGAACAAGATAGAGATAGCCACTGTCAGAATTTCTAGTCAACATTGTAATGGAGGTTATTAGACAGTCAATAAAACAAGAAAAGGAGTAAAAAGCAGATTTGAAAGAAGGAAGTACAGTGTCTATATTTACAAACAGCATGACCATCTATGTAAAAAATTCTATTGAATCTACCAAAACAGCATCAAAATTAATAATTTAGTTAAGCAAAGTTGAAGAAGAAAAATATACAAAAATCAAATGTTTAAACAATCAGAAATTGAAATTAAAAAAAATTTACGACAGGATGAAAAATATGAAATATTTAGGAACACATTCAAAATAAAATATAACCATAAATGTAAAACTTAAATCTATAAAATTAAGACAATCTTTGTGAACTTGGATTAGGAAAATATGATTCCAAAGGCAGAATTCATTAAAAATTATACAAACTATACTTCAAAATTAAGAACTCTGCTTTTTGAAATGCAGAGTTTTCATTATTTAATAGAATGAAAAGACAAGGCACAGGCTGAAAGTAAATATTTGCTAGTCACACATCTGATAAAGAACTTGCATCCGGAATATTTAAAGAGCTCTTAAAATTCAACAAATAACTCAATAATTGGAAAAGCAAACAACCCAAGTAAAAGAAAAAAAGAGGGGTGGCCAGTTAGCTCAGTTGGTTAGAGCGTGTTGCTAATAACACCAAGGTTGCTGGCTCGATCCCCATATGGGCCACTGTGAGCTGTGTCCTCCTTAAAACAAACAAACAAAAACAAAACAAAACAAAACACAAAAAAAGAAGAAAAAGCAAAATAAAGAAAATGCATACATATAAAATAAAGAAAAGAAAAAAGATAAGAAAATTTAAACAGACACTTCATCAAAAAATACATTTGGATGGCAATAAGCACATTAAACAGCATCATTAGTTATTAGAAAAATGCAAATTCAAGCTGAGATACCACTATACACCTACCAACTAGAATCGCTAAAATTAAAAAGACTAACTATAGCAAGTGTTAGTGGGGATGTTGAGCACCTGGAACTCTCATACACTGCTGGTGAGACTGTAAAATGGCAATCACTTTGAAAAACAATTTGCCAGTTTCTTAAAAAATTAAACAAATATCTACCACTTGGTTCAATCATTCTGCTCCTAAATATTTCCCCAAGGAAGTGAAAGTTTATGTGCATACAATAACTTGTATACAATGTTCACAGCTGCTTTATTGGTAATAGCCAATAACTGGAAACAAGAATGATAAACAAATTGTGGCAGAGCCATACAACAATACTACTGAGCAACAAAATGGAATAAACTATCGATATATGCAACAGTGTAGACGAATCTGAAAGTAAATATGCTGAGCGGAAAAAAAATACAAAAACTCTGCATACTGTATGATTCCTTTTATGTCAATTCCAGAAAATGCCAACTATTCCATAGTGACAGAAAGCTGGCCAGTGGTTTTGCCAAGTGATGGGGATGAGGATGGGGCAGGGAGGTTCAGGAGAGACTAATTACCAGAGGGCATGAAGAAATGTTTTTGAGTGATGAGTATGTTCTTAACTTGGTTGTGGTGGTGTTTTCACAGGTGTATACATACATAATAGATATGTCAAACCTTACGTGTGGAGTTGATTGTATTTCCATTATACCTTAGCAAAGCTGTTTTAAAAAAAAAACCAAAAACCAAATATGATTGGTTTGGTCAGCACCCAGCACAGTGTCTTTTAAGACAACATAGCAAGTACAGTTGACCCTTGAGCAACACAGGTCTGTCTGAACTGAGCAGGTGGGTCCACTTTTACACGGACTTTTTTTTCAATAAAATACAGTTAGTTCTCCATATCCCCAGGTCTCACATCTGCATATTCAACCAACCACGGATTGAAAAACAGTATTTTCGATCCAATGTTGGAAACTCATGGATGTGGAGGGCTGACTGTATGCATTGTTCTATGCCATTTTATGTAAGGGACTTGAGCATCCACAGATTTTGGTATCCAAGAGGGGTCATGGACCCAAACCCCTTGGATACCTAAGAATGACTGTTGTTAATTAAGTTCTTGAGGAATCAAAAGTTATAGATGGATTTTCAACTATGTAGGGGAGTTGGCACTGCTACCTTCCTCCCCGTGTTTTTTAAGGGTCAACTGTACTCAACTCACATTTATTGAGTGAATACCTGAATGAATGGTCTCATTACCTTGAAATCGCCCACAGATGTAATGACAGAAGGGAGAATGGAGAACTTTCATTTCCCTACAAACACCTCATTTCTTAACTTACCTCCTACCCCACCTCCACACTTTCATCCCAGTTTATCCTTGGAAAGAGGAACCACTGGCTTTCCACCTCCTGACACGGGATAGTTATCCATATAAAGCATCCATTGCTCTGAGTCTAACTTGTCCCTCCTGGAGGTGAACTGTCTACTTCATCATTGCTATTTCAAGGTATATAATATAGTGCCTGACAACCCTTTCTGATTTTGGAACACGTTATCCAAATTGTTTCTTATCCATTTTCTATTTCTGCCTGAGAGCAAATTTTATTCATTGGTAACTAGGTTGAAAATCCGGAGTTAGCTTGGGTCAGACATCCTCCACTGCTCCCCATGATTGCTTTCTGCATTCCACAGTTATCAAAATCAAAATGTGGAAGTAAGTGTCTGTGAGTGCTTTTCATTAGATGAACCCACCAAGCAAAATGATCAATAATGGGAGGTGTGATTATCAGGATACCAACTCAGGAGAAGGAGTGAATGGGGAATATGGGAAAGGGGAGTGAGTCGGGGCTAACAGGACAGGGGACCTGGAAGACAGTGGGGCCATACTAATGCTTGGTCACTTGAAGCAGTGGGTTGACACCCTTGCAGGAGGGACATACACAGAGAGCAGAATGCACATTCTTACTCAGCTTCAGCTGAGAACTGCACAAACTCTATAAACTCTGTTCTCCAAACACACACAAATAATGGAGAAAATCACTGCAAACAATGGCTAGGAACTCACACACTTCTGGAAATCTACCCATGGGCTGTTAGTTTAGAACCCTTAAGAAATAATAGATAGATGTTCTCAAATACAATAGTCTTTCTAAGCTCCATGGTGTTTGCTGCATGTGTGCTCTCATCACTAGGCTGCATTTGAGTTGCTAGCTGACAAAGAAGGGCCTTTGTAACTCTAGTTCAGACACAGGTACAGATGGCATCTCTTTTACATTGTTAATTCTTTGAAGATGGTCCTCATGAACATTCATTTCCCGGAATTTAACATATTAATACTTATGAACACCACCTTTAAACCGATGACCTTACAGAATTCTTCCAGCAATGATATTTCATTCTCCTACTACAGAAGGGGAGAAGGAACCAAGGTCCAGACCCTGAGTTTTGAACACACCAAGCAAAATGACCAACTATTGGGGGGTGGAGATGACTCTGTCCCTTTTCTCATCACTTTGAGTGCATGGGGGAGGGGTGTGTGCAGAGCAGGTTTCTCCAGAGGCAGTGTCCAGGCCTCCCCTCCTGGTGCATTGCCTGCTTTGGTCTCCCTTGAGTGGTCTGCTATGTTTTGGTTTTGTTTATTCGGTGTTTTTTTGCCTGTGACTTTGCGAACTATCCCGGGAGGGAGACGGAAAGTCTTGGTCTCTGTGAACCAGCACAATGTTGCTTTCAGCTTAAATATCCACTGGGAAACCTCAAGGTTTTCAATGTCATCATTATGGAAAATGAAGATTACAAAAGGAAATAACTTAATGTCACTCCCTGGTCCCCACTGGGATTCGGTTTAACCTCGGTTTATCTTTTCTTTGGTGGGTTTTAAGTCTTGAGAAAATCTACCCAAGAATGAAGAATCCACAAAGGATGTGGTAGATAGATTTGGGTTGAGGGTGGTGGGATGGGAAAGAGGTTTAAATCTGGTGAATGGTCGAATCGTAGTACCTGGTCCCGTTGTACCTGGGTTGTTACTTCTTTCCTTTTACCCCATCCGGATTAACATAATCAATCGCCCACTTGGGAGAAACTCCTCTGGGGCGCACGAGTCTAAGCAAACAGCATGTCAAGTCGCCACGCCCCGGTGACCTGTTTCCCCTTCAATCTTTGATCTTCACAGCAAAAACCGGCTCGGGCGCCCTACGGCTCGTGGGAGCTGGCGGCCCCGCCCGCCCGGCGCGGCCCCGAGGCCACTCCTGCCCCCGGCCGCGCGCCCCGCCCCGGCCACCCCCGGCCGCGCCGCGGCCTCCGCCCAGACCGGCTGCGAGCCCGAGGTGCCGCCGCCGCCGGGATGTGACCTTCAGAGCCGCCTGCACAGGATGACCGGAGCCACCGCCCCGCGGCGCCCGCGGCTTGCCACGGCCTCCCGGGCGCTCTGACCGCGCGCGCTCCCGGCCGCCTGCCAGTCTCCCGTCCCCGGTCCGCGTCCCTGGCCCTTGGCCCCGGTCCTCGCCATGCAGCCGCCGCCCGGACCCGCCACCGCCCTGGGCACCGCGTTGCTGCTGCTCCTGCTGGCCTCGGAGTCCGCGCACAGTGAGTACCGCGTGGGGGCCGCGGCGCTGGCTGGATCGAGAGACCCTCTCCCAAAAGACCCTGCCACCCCCGGGACAAGGGCAGAGCCAGTGCCCGCACCCCGACCCGACCCGGTGCTTCCCCGGTGGGTGCGCTCCCGCCCAGCCGCCGCATCCCCGGGCCCGCTGCTGGGAGGACCGAGCGTGCGGGGCCGGGTTAACAGCGTGTCCTGGCTCTCTCTTCGCTCTCTCCCGGCTCGTCCTCCCGCCCGCGTCCTCCTGCCCTCGTCGGTGCAGCCGTGATGCTGCGGGCGCGCGAGGCGGCTCAGTTCCTGCGGCCCAGGCAGCGCCGCGCCTACCAGGTCTTCGAGGAGGCCAAGCAGGGCCACCTGGAGAGGGAATGTATCGAGGAGCTGTGCAGCCAAGAGGAGGCCCGGGAGGTGTTCGAGAACGACCCCGAGACGGTGAGCGCAGGGGCCCGGGGTGCCAGCGCAGTGCCGGGGAGGTGGGAGGTGTGCGCCGGCCGCCTTAGGATTGCGCGGCTGGGCGGGATCGCCATGCGGAACTTTAGGGCCGCCAGGTCACCTCGAGCGCTGTCCCTGCAGCACCGCATTTCTGGGGACATCATCAGTGCGCGCCCTGGTGGGGAGCCCCGGGGTTCCCCCTCCTGCACCTCAGAGTTCTCTTCCCAGAATGTACGGTGAGTGTCTCATGTGGGGGGACTGTGACACAAATCACACTCAGAACGCTTAAATACGGAGACATCGTGTTCAGGAACAGTGAAAGGGCAGGGATGTAGGGTATCCGAACCCCGGCTCACCCTCAAGCCTCTTCCACACCTTTTGAGCCCCACTTCTCCAGGCGACCCCCAGGTGCTCTGGTTAGCTGGCGGCAGAAGCAGGTCTTTGAGCGGGGTCCCGTTGAGACCCTGCAGGTCTCTCCATCAGCAGGCCTCTAAAGGCAGCCACCTTAAAGGAAACATGCAATATATGACACCTCCACCAGAATGCAATAGAGGCCGTTTTTAAATGTAAAAGAAATACCTTGGTTAAAAAACCCAAGCAGCTTCCTACTTCCCCTCCCCCTTAGCTGGATTGGAGATGAGGGGTGGAGCTGTCCAGGTTTCTTGAACCTTGTGAAGAGGATGGAGGGTTTGTCTGAAAGCGGAATTAAAAGATGTGAGGGCTAGAATTGCTTGCAGCAGCAGGTCCCAAAATATGATCACAGGAATAGTGCCAGGCCATAATATTGGGGGGAGGGTGTGTGTGCAGGGGAGGGGGCACAAAGGGTGGAAAGTAGGAAAGCACCACACACACACACACACACACACACACACACATACACACACACACACACACACACACACACACACACACACACACACACTCACTCACCAGCTGCTTTCCGCAAGGTGCTCTTTTAGAACCAGCTGGTGATTTCAGGAGCTTGATGGTGCTGGCTCAGGACATATTTCTATTAATAATGTCCTTGGAGAATGTGAGGCGCCGGGCAGCCAACGGCAGAGAGCAGCTCAGGTGTGGATTTGGTCCGTGCAGGAGCTGTGCAACTTTAAGGCAGAAGAGATGTGTAAGAACATTTGTGGTGGTTATAACCTGTGGGACCTGGAGGAAGCCCAAGATGTATATCTGTTCCAGGGCAAATAACTTTGGAAAGTAGAAATGATAGAAATGGGGTGGACTTACATTATGTCACTTTATGCTGTGAGGTCAGGGTGATTTCACAGCTGTTTTTGGTTCTATCAGATTTTTTTCTTTTAAAGAATTCTTCTGGAATGAAATAAATGTCACATACAATAAACCAATAGCTCTGTGTGACTGATGTAGGCTTCTTTTGGACTTATATTTCTGATTGGTTGACTTGAAAATCCCTTTTAAGTCCTCTTTCTGAAAACAAGCTTTAAAATGATTGACTCTTTTGTGCAGCTCTCTAAGCACAGTTCATCGTGGCTGTGGCTGAGCTATGGTAGTGTTATTTTCTCAGTGTCAATAGCAACACAGTTTCAATCCTGTTGTGCAGAGCAGTTTTGCCAGTCTTTTTTGACTCTGCTGTTTTCCCGTTTCTTTAATAATCAATCCTGGTGACCCAATGAATCATGCCCCTGTGGAGGATTCCTGAGGGTCCTAGCGGCAGAGCTGTGTGCCTGGCTACCAGAGGTCACTGCCCAGCTGTGGGATTGTGTGACAGGTGCAGTGTTCTCCATCCCCATGCCTAACCTGGACTGTTTGTTTGTGCAGAAAGTGTGGGATGGGGCTTGCAGGTGACAAGAGTTGACAGTAACAAGACTGCCACCCACCCAACCAGTCCTTTCCCTGCCCCAGCTCCAGCTTACCAGGACAGAAAAACCCCTACCCGGCTTTCCCTTGCTGCCTGAACATACTACACATTAATCACAGTGCCATTTTTTCCAGCACGTTAATCTCTCAGATTTTAATTGCTTTTATGTTATAATTTTAACTTTATTTGCAAATGTATGGAGTGAAGATGAGAAAAAGAAAAAAGTGTTCACAATCCCATAACTTTAATGCAACCATTGTTCTTTCAGCGTGGGTCTGCGCAGGGACTTTGCACTTCCCTGTGAGATCTTGGCTTCCCCTCCCTTCAGAGGCTTAGCTGAGTTGCTTTAATGCTGTGGGTGGGGTGGCGTCCTCTCTCACAGTCTGGCCCCATAAGGAATTTGTAAACTCCTTTTCATATCAAAGCCTTTTATAGTTTTCCAGAGTTCTGTCCTCCTTCCCAATGCCTACCCCCAAATAGTAATTATTTTTTGTTATTTATCAGCCTCTCAAGTTGGACTGGTTACTTCTGTGTCTTCCCTCCCAGCCAGTTGGATTGCAAGCCCTTCATTTTAACTTGAACCTTGCATCTTGTGTGGACTGTTGTATAGACAATGTGCTCTGTCTGGATTTGGCCCTTGGCTTGTTTTCTTTTTCTCTGAGAGGCAGTGTAGAATGCTGGGAGGAGCGAAGTTAGGGTTAGGGGTCAGGAGCCAGAGTTAGGGGTTATGGGGCTGATTCCCCATACCGCTGCTCCGGTAGACCAGTTGTCCACTTCAACGTTCATATTTTCCACCCCATTTAATTCCTTACTTTGGGGAGACCCATGCTCCCCGGGGTGGAGAGACCCTCTAAAGACAATTCATTACTAATGTATCATAGTAAAAACAGCACTTTTGAAAAAGGCAATCCTATGAAATAACCGATGAGCTCCTCGGCTCCAAAAAGATCAGGGCTCTCACTAGGAAATATTTATTCCTTGTTCCAAATGTAGCTCATTTTGCATTGTTTTGACTGAGGCTGATGGAGTGACCCAGAATGATGAGCACTGACCTTATTTAGCTCAAGAAGTCCCCAGGACCTGGCCATGTGACTGTCACAGGACCTTGAGGGCCACACTGTCCTAATGTGAATGGCTGCACCAGAATGGGTATTTCTTGAGTTGTGATCACCTGACTATCTCACGGTGGTACTTGTAGGAAATACCAGTTCTCACAGACCAGGGCTACCTTCATGGCTGATTCCACCTGCCCCGCCTTACTGTCTACCAGGTTAGGATGCTAGAAGTGGCTGGCCTGTCCTCAATGTGTCTGGACCAGTGGTAGTCACACACTTGCCCAACTTTGGCTCTGCCTTTGCTGGAGTTTAAAACACTTGTCTTTCCTGCTGTCAGAAAAGGTGTGCTACCTCTCCTGTTTCCATTCCTGGGACTCTGGGGGCACCCTGGTAGAGGAAGCCCCAGGGAGGGACTGAGAAAGCTGGGGGCAGGGGGCTTGGGCATTTGGATCCAGCTCTATAGGCTGCAAATCACCTTATTGGAATTTGGAGGTTGGTGTTTGTTGAGCACATGCTATGTGTTAGGTGTGCTCTAGGTCTTCCTTTCTGATTTGGATCTTTCCAAACTGGGTTGAAAGGCAGGGAACCTGGGTGGAGTGGGGCTGGTGGTGTCTTCTTGAGCCTCACATCTTGGACACCTGCTTCCCTCCTGGGGGCAGATGATCTCCCTCTGCCATGGAGGGGCCAAATGGTCTCCTACCACATTCTTTCAGGCCCTTGGGGAGTGTCCCAGTCCACCCGTGGCTGCCACTGCTAATCGCCTGTCCCTCTTCTCCAGAGCCCAAGAGGTGATTACATTCCCTCCTTATCTTGTTTCCTTTTATGTTGCTATTCTATCTTCCTGGTATTTCCCTCTCCCTTGCTTTTCCTCCTTCTGGGACCCTAGGTCGTCAATCCCCCAGTTGTCTCTGCTGGGCTTCTCCTGAGTTCTTCTGAAAGCTCACCCAGGCCAGCCCAGAAGAGTCACCATTCTACTAACATTCTTTAAGGCAGGCGGGTTCCAGACACCTTAAAGACACCATCTCAGTAATTATCCTTTGCTTCTGGAAAGGATTCTGGACAAAAAGTTAACCCCGGCCCGACCTGCTGCCCAGATACATGTCACCACCTGGCAGCACCTGGTGCCTGCTCCTGCAGCTGAGCCATGGCGTGTTGGTGGGAAAAAAATTCTAGGCTGCAGTTTCTGGCCCCACCACCTGGTTTAATTTGTGATACAAGCAACAATATGTACAATATTAGGAACTGGCTTGTGATACATACACCCTGAGAACTTCACAACACGCATGGCCACTGGACCATCCCCGTGTCTCTGTCTCTGTCTCTGTCTCTCCATACATGTGTGCCTCTCGCCCTCTTTGTCTCTGTCCCCATCTCTATCTCCCTAAACCCTATTCCCCCTGTTCCAGCTCTCGTAGATGTAGGGGATCCAGTTGTGGTGATAGGTTCTCTACTTCATGGGGTTTAGTGGTACAGTCAGTTTCAGAGCCCTACGGTGCTACTGGCCGTGTCTTGAACTGCATCTGCCTTCCAAGGACACCCGTCTTCCTGAGGTCCCAGATTCTTTGGGGACAGCTTGGGTAGGGGTACCCCCTACAGAGGTAAAGCCCCCTCAAACCTTGCCTTTTGGGGGTGGCCTAAGGGGTCTCATGGGGGCAGAAGTGGGCCCCAGCAGGAGGGTGGGGAGAGAGGAGGAGGGGGACCTTGTCACTTCCAGTGACTTGCCTCTGCAATGCAGGTACCCTGGCTGGAGTGGTGACACTTTGGCTGTGACCTCGAGGATAGCTGCTGCTCACCTGTACCCCCCTGCCCCCCACACCCCACTCTGCCTTGACAGCAACCTCCTCACCACATGTACATGCACACCTACACACACTCAGACGCACACACAGATGCACACTCATACACAGTCATGCACCCTCATATGCACATATACACACACACCTTATAAGACACATATACGCGTACAGATACACACAGAGACACAGTCACAGACCATACGCCCACACAGACACATAGATACACATACAGACAAACATAGTCACACACCCACAAATGCACAGACACACATGCACATACTCTTCTCTCTGCGACTTTGAGGTCCATTAAGAAATGAG